GTGTGAGATACACGTCAAGTGCTGGCTGCCGTCGACGCAGCCAAGAGATGGTGCTACCTAATCCTACCATGTGCCATACACTCGTCCTACTGCAACTTAAGTACTTTATCAGTGGAGAGATCATTTACCATATGTAATGCAACATATCAGTGTCCTAGGTCAGTTATTATGTGACTCCGTGTGAACTAACAAGTTAGTTTGGAAGGAAAGTGTGCCATAATGGAAACCACTCGAGTTAGGACTTGAAACGTGTTGCCATATACAAGCAGTTGTCATTACGTGGCTATAGACTTTCGTGGTGTCCCACGTCTGAATTATGAAGATGATTTTATTTAAATGTCTTCAACATAAAGGACACGTTTGTCTCCGTTCGTAATGGAGACTATTTAGTCAACCAGTTAATAAGAAGTATTGGTCGTCATCGGTGTTGCAGCTCTTTGGGTCTCTACTTGTGTGGTTATTGTGCAGTGGCGGTCCTCTGGGTATGCAGTGAGCCAGCCTTTCCAATGGAATGATTAGTGATGATTAAGATAATGAGAAAAATAGGTTCATCCAAAATTTAAGTAATCAGTGAAGCTCACTATTTCAGCTCCCACGTTATACTTTTCGTAAAGGGGGTACCGCCACTGTGATAGAAAGACCTTAGATGCCGTGTCTTCTTTAAGAGCCAAAATCACTTTATTTGCAAGATGCATGACTTGTCACAGCCATGGTGCTGATGACCAGTCTGTCTGGTCAGAGACTATTTGTACTGTCATTAGCACAGGTAGTCAGGAAAAGAATGAATGCTGGTCTCTAGTACAACTATCTTTCGTCAGTTGTTTGCAACAGCGGATATGTAAGAATTGCAAACTTGAGTGTTCATGTGTACAAGAGTGCAATGAATATCTTGACTCGTCCGCAGCGAGTACGGAGTGTCCCAGCAACTACCACATTGGCTCTAATTGAAGACCTGCTACTCCGACAAGACCAAGCCTCCTTGTATCTTCTGTTGCTCACAGTACAGCACTGCAGAGTAGCCCTCGTGCTACTTTTGTCCAGGGCTGTGTGGTCTGGAGGCTATTTTGCTCACTTGGCATTTGTACCACGCCTGATGAGGCCGCTCAACCCAGGCACAGCGGCTGCTGCTCTTCGGGATGCCATATTTCAGGCGTCGAATATTTGGGGCTTCAATTACTGAGCGTCGCGGGCAGAGCCGGATGCTGGTTGCAGAAGAGAAGCAGACTTGTGGTGCGGTCCGTTGCAGGCAATGTAACGAGCCAGCGCCCCTTAAACCCACGAACCACGTCAGCCACCTCTGCCCGCACGCCCCAAACAGCGCCCAGGTGCTGGTGTTGTCACTCACGGGCAGAGAGGGATCCAGTACTCTCTTCTACCCGTATCCACCTAGGCTGACCCTCCTCCAGTCTAGTCACATATGTCTCTTGAGGGTCAGCCTGGCTCACAGAACGTCAGCTGCCTCCCTTGCCTGTCTGCCTCTTTTACCAGCTAATTAGCATAAGACCAAATCATTCTGTTTTATGTAATTCATTCGTGTTCACATTTATTATTTTGCTTTTTTTTTAATCCACATCACCCACTTTATGATGTCCTAAATTTTTTTGTGGACTACTGAATATGTAATTTTTTTTTGCATTATTTGTAATCATCTTGCTGAAGTAGCACTTTTAATACACATACTGTACTTTTTCTCTTCTCAAAAGTGTTCACTGCTGTCCCAGCAGGCCTATATTAAGCATCAGTATTTTTCTTGGGGACTAACTGCATTTAGAACTACACAGTGTTGTTCTTTAAATGTTTTTTTTTCCAGTTGAACCTATCAGTATTTTAACAGAGGGTCATTTGTAGCCCAAGTCACCCTACTCCATTGCCCTGATGCAGGTCCTATCTGCTCTCCTCAACTTTGCCCTTGCAAAAGTTCTTACCCATCTAAAGGCTGAAAATCCCCTAAATGTATTAAAAAGAGTTCATAGTATGACTGTCTGGGAATTTCTTTACTACTTGAACATTACATCGCATCACTGTTTCATATTCACTTAGACTCACTGCTGTGTCAACACTTCTCAAGTGACTGGTCACCAGAACACTTTTGTTAGTGGTTTAACATACTTTTATTAATTCTTTAACAAACTTACCAATGTCGTAATAAAGCAATGTTTAATATGTCACACATATCTAACCCCATCATTTGCAACACACATTGTGTATGTGAAAGATAATTAATAAGAATCAAAAGTTCACTCTGGTTGAAAATGCACGTCTGTTTCTCACTCCTAATGAAGCCACTTTATCAAACACTGTATACATGGAGGTTTTTATGTCACTGTTACTGAAATATCAGAATTCTTTAACACAACTACATCTGCTTATTGCATAAGCACAGTTCCAGCAATGTTTATTTCATTATTCTATTCAGGAAAAACTTACTTGAAGAAATTTCACATCATATACAAAAACAATCCCTCCAACATCTAGGAGGACCCTGTGAATTCAATAGTAGAAATCAAAAGAAAGGAGAAACAGAGAAAATTAAACAACACATACAATATACTCATATACACATACTTTTCACCACTCATATGATTCATCCCATTGCATCTAATATTAACAGCATGCACTTTCATCTCCATTCTTTGTAATTTCTCAACCTCTATATTATCACTTAAGCCAAATATTTTTTTTCTTAATATAAGAAGCAAAGTTCTTTAGGCAAGATGGTATTGTACTGGTAACAAGCAGGCAGTCTGGCAAGGGAAGTGTTGAGCCTCTCAAGTTAGTATTATTGTGCACTCAAACAAACAGGTCTAGTTTATTGTCATTCATTAAATCTCAGTAGGAGGAATTTGCTAATATCCAAAGTTTTGAAAGTAGAAAGATCAACAATTGCTTTATTATTTTTTTAAATACATTATAATACCTCTAAAATGAGAATTGATTGATTTTTATATGTACTATCAATGTTTTCATTCATTCTTGCTTAGGTAAAAGTGACTTTCTCATTGACAAATATTAGGACTTGTCTCTTTATGCCCCAGTTAAAAACATTTAAGATAGTTTTAGCTGTATTAAATGTCAACATCCCCATAACAATACAAAAAATTCATTTAATTACCCCACTTTGAAATACCCTCCCAAAGTACATATAGATGGTCTATGTGCTTCTTTGTTTGTAAACTGTCTAAATAAATGTTTTAGTACCATCTGAATCCCCGTGTTATACTATGTATTTATCATTAAAGTTATAATATCTCTGATTGTGAATATCAGCATCAAATTGGGTCTTATATCTGACAGCAGTTTCATTTCCTTCAGCTAGATTTTGGTAATTAACTTGAATTATTTAGAATAAAAAATAGTGAGGCATTAAAAACAAATCAGTTGGCGTTCTTTTTATTTTGACTTGTTTCTCTGCATGTAGATATGTCAATGATATTGGTAAATAAAAGGTATTTTTATCATAATGATTCTCTTTCATTATCCAGCTTTAGCAATTGACCATATGGTCATAAATATTGATTTTAAGAACACAAAATATTTTCAGTTCTGTCCATATAATGAATACCATGTAGAGGATATTTTTCCATGCCTTACTAAGAATTCAACAAGAATTCTGTTTGAGTGTGAGTATAAGTAGTAGTATTAACTTTCTTATTTTCTCTATGCCAACTGGAATTCTGAAGATTTGAATATGGTCTCCTTGAGTATTTGAAGGAGTTGAATTTTGCATATGAAGTTTCATATTTGCTAACACTGAACACTTTGTAAATATGTGATTATACCGTGATTATACAGCGTTCTACTATCTTATACTTTACCTTGTACTTTCTCATCTCTTTTGCCTATGTTATTTTCATATTCAGAAGTCTTTAGCTAGTTAAGGTGAAAAAAAAGTGAACTGAAAACTACACAAAATCTTTCTAATAAGGTAATGAAAAAATGCATACAGTGAAACGAATATTTAATTTTAACAATTCAATTGTTTCCAATGATTTGCATGAGGAAATAATAAATACAGTTAAATAAGTTGCATATATATGGGAATCACATATAGAGGGGCTATTTTTGGTATATGCCACATGTGTAATTACTGACTAGACTTCATTATAGACATAAAATAGTGAAGTAATGACTAGACATATCATAAGCATAATATTGAAGTCCACTTTGCACTTAAAGAACACTTGTGCTTAATCTTAAAAGTATACTTTTATTTAAAAGCAATTCATCAAAATACATTTAAATGTGATTTTGCAAAGCAACTAAGAAATAGCACCAACATTTAAACAAACAATATTACTGACTATGCTTTGTGGCTGTTGTTAGATGTTCATATACAATCACTGCTTCCAAATAATTGACACTTTTTCTAAGTGGAAAGGAAAAGAGCTAAACCTGCTTGATGCCATTCATAGTGCGGACTGGGACAAGGTATGGTTACACTTGCCACCACCTGTTCCCTGTTGGATGAGGAGTAGACTGGCACAGAGAGTAGTTCGTCATGATACAATCGGTTCTGCACTTCCTGGGGAATAAAGGTAACCTCTCATCATTTGTTTTCCATTGAGAATAATGTCATGAAATTTGAAATAAGTGAATGCTTAAGAAAAAATATATATGCTGCACTAAATTGCTGCTGATTATTTTCTATCAGTTATAGCTTTGATCTGTGTGGTCCAAGGAGAATTAAGATAACATTAAGACTAAAAGATAACATTTATATAATTAGTATAAAATATTAGTATAAAAGACAGTAAGTTCAACTGACGCTTTAAGTTTCTTTTACATATATGTAATCTGAAATGCATGCTTTAGTATAAACATAAATATTCAAAAGATATACTTACCTTGGGCACCCAAGCCACAGCACAGAGAGGAGCAACAGAGATGCTTGTTGAATCATGAGCATTATGTTGTAGGCGAGATCCATCAAATGTTGCACCTTCCATTTGCAGCCCTGACCATTTCATTGTCAACTTTGCATCAGGTATTCCACCACGAGACCAGGATGTAACAAAAACCAAACTGTCCATTGAGGTGCTGTATTCTCTGTAAGCAAAAAATAACTCAGCAAGCACCTTTACTGGGAATGAAAAACTTAAAAGATTCTCACCTTTTAAGTGGGCTTAACTATCACTCAGAAATATTAAGGGAATGGAAATTATCCACAGTAGGAAGATGCCTTACCTTGCAGTTTGTTGCCTAAGAGCATTCAGGAAAGTGGCTGAGTGAAGAAGATCTGATAGGTCTAGAGGTTCTTTGAGCAGATTTCCTTGATCGCTTTTGGCTACCCATTTCCCAATTCCGTTTGCCCGTCTAACAAGACTGCGCAAGTACTCCAGTGGATCCTCTGGACCTTCCCATAATGACAGCCAGCTGGATGGAGTCTAAAAACAAATTTTCCTATAAATCATTTTATATACCCATGCATGCTGACACTTCATTGGTCAAAAATGTAAGAATGCTATCAGATTTCACTTAAACACTACCTCTTGACTGAGGAGGGAATCTGCAAGTTTTTGAACATCACTGGTGAGCAGAAGTGTTCCTCGGATGACTTTTGAGAGCTGTGCCAGTGAGCGATGAACAGTCTGCACGATGGAGATGACTGAATAGTACTCCAGCTGGATAAAGGACTTGACTGGTGACTCTGCTGTGGAACTTGGTGTCGCAACTTTGGCTTGTATTAGGTTACCACCCTAGAAGAAAAAAAGTATCTAAGCAACCGCTCATAATTCTATTTTCATAGGTACTATTCTATGTTTACTTGTTTATATATTTTATTGAAAAAGCATTATGAGAAATCAAGATAACTGCCCTACAAGGCAGGATGGGGAGAAGTGCAGGGTTGAGAAAATCAAAATCAAGTTAAGATCAGTTTCTAACTACCTTGGTATCTAAAAGGATTAATCTAAAGGAATTTAAATATTAATGTCTGCAATAAAAATCAAGTGATATTAGATACCAACTATTTAACATACACAACTAGCCCATTAACTACTTTTGGGGATAAATAAAGTTAATAAAATACAATAAAAGTTATTATACTCTACAATTTATTTCTTCTCTTATATATAGCATGTATATTCGAACTACACATTTATTGAGATCAAACTTTCTGAGGTACACAAATAGCGAAAAAGAAGAAGAAAAACTATTTAAAAATCTAGAAATCATCCTTGTGTGCACTCCATTTCAACATGTTCATAACTAATTTAAAATTGATTGTGTAAATGAAAAAACAGTAAGACTGCTCAGCAAGATAAATCATTTTTTTCTTTGTTTCTTACTTTTATAAATCTAAGGCAAATATTTACAAAACCCCTACAATCCTATGTCAGCATTTTTTGCAAGTTTAGCATATATTTCTCATTTTCTCATATAATATGAAGGTTGAGCTAGATGATTCATAGTGAAGCCTTTTTTCCCCATTTACCATAAAATTAAAAAACAAATCTTGCACATACCTGGTTTAACTTTTTCCACAAATTTAGCACAGGTGACAGCTGTGTGTGCCACTTCTCACGGTCAAACCTCCCAGCAAGTTCGGGAGATCTCATGAGAACTGTAACAAAAAAATATATTTTAAATTGTGAATAAGGGAAGGCAAATATAAGAAGCAAGTGCTGTACACTTGTAAATCATATGAATCACTGCCCATATAGTGCATTTACAAACCTTTCAGCTGAGAAATGACTTGTGAGCTAACTATGCGCTGCCATGATCTCTCAATGTTCGCTGGGAGGCCAAAATAACTTGGGTCGTCATCATCTGACAGATTTCTAATGAGGCTCGTGTAATCCTTCACATAAGAAAAAGTACCATTAATGTAAAGTAATAAGAACAACCTTTATTCTCTTTATAAAGCCTATGACAATAATATGAATCAATAAAATCAACTACAGATTCCACATTCCATAATAAGTCAATTTTCCATTATTTTTTAAAACTCACCTGATAATTTACAGTTGTGGGTAGAGCGAGACTCTTGACAAGTTGGTCAGCAGATGGCTTTCGGCCTCCTACCACATCATTGTTGAAGAAGATGCGAAGATAAGCATTCAACACTCGAATGTCCCAAATGTTGTCTATGCGGCCACCATAGATTGCATTCTCAAACAGTCCATAGATGAAATTCCACTTGATGTCACCAGTTCCTGTGGAAAAAAAAAAAAAAATCTATCCATCTATCCATTTATATAAATGCATCAACATCACAGAACAGTGATGCTCCATTTAGTTCATCCAGCTCAAGGTAATCAGCAACAATCATAGTCAATCATATGACTGCAGTAATTGTAATAAACAGTAATGGTTCAGTATTTTTTCTTCCTTCAATTAATACTTTAAACCTACTATGAATACTTAAATAAGTTCGGCCAGCCCAAAAAGAAAACTAGGCCACAAAACTTTCTATACCTGCTTGTTTATATAGCCTATCAATAATATCAACTCCGGCCTTCAGATCTGCATATGAAAACTCATAGAACTTGGACCATCCTTGGGGTATGTAAGTTCTGCGTTCCTGAACAATGGCATGGAACCAAGCCAGCACAAAGAGCGTCTGTGCACGATTCACGTTATTATCACGTGCAATCAGTTCTGGGTTCCATGAGTCATATGTACGCTGGAGGTTCTTCTTTAACCCTGCAGGGGCCTGTAGAAGAAATTAATCCATAAGTACATCTTGTTTGATGGAAGTGTCAAAGGTATAGAAGTCATTATGTGCAGGCTTAATCCCTGGATAATACAATTAATAAAATATTACACTAATTTAAATGCTGGCTAATATAAAGTAATGCCAGGGCAAATACCCCATCATTTTTAGGCATGAAATATCAAATTAAAAACATGAACCTATGATAAATCAAAAATAGCTTCTGATACGACTCTTACCTCATAGGTAACTTTCAAGCTTGTCTGCAACAGAATAGGAGTGAACTTGAGGTGGGGTTCTGCTGTCAGCCAGAGGCGGAAGTTGTCGTGGGGGTGAAGATTGTTCAGTTCTTTTTCAAGTGTTGGCAGCCAAGCAGTGACCAAGTGCAGGTTCTTCAAACACAGCCAATGCCCAGCTTTTGCGCATTCATGGAGAAGTCTGACCGCTATTTCACTCTGCCCTTGACCCATTGCTACCTGTTATGCATGGGAATCACAATTATAAACTGCATGAATTTTGCTAATGCATTTTTATTCCAGGCATTCCTCTCTTTACAAAAAGGGACCATAAAACTAAGAAATTATTAATAATCAGAAAAAATCTTGCAACAATTTCAGAATATAACAAAACAAAGACCAGCATAAAAATACTACTAATAAAAAAACTAATTATAAATAGAAAGTCAGAGCAAATTCCTTTTCTAAACATAAAATCACTATTCTTAGCTGAAAACCTACCTCATGATAAGCATTAGACCCCACTGTACTTTTCACAAGGTCCAAGAGCTCCTGAGATGGATCAGCACCAGCAGATATGATGATAAGTATAGGCTCTGTAGCCACCGTCTCTGACAGGAGACGTCTCAGATTTAGCGCTGGTGGGGACAGCTCCTTCATTCCTGTAAATGAAAGAAAGTTTTTTTTTAGGTTATTTATCCAATTCATTATTAATTATTTGAAAGATATTTCTTTTGTTTACATAACTATTTATTACAAGTGGCTTTAATGATGTTTATCCATTACTACTAAAATATGTTATTCTAAATTGAATCCTCTAAAAAGAAATTCATTCTACATGTAGTAATTAAAAAGGCTCATTACCTATGGATTGATGGAAAACTGTATTCCATAAAACATTAAAAGTTTAAATTAAATCACTGAAAACAGAATGGTGTTAAAGTACATTACACTGGGAAGTGGAGTGAAAAAAAAAGAAATTGCATGCTTGTATCAGTGTCTAGTATACATGTGTGTACATATATAGATAGAAAGATAAATAGACCGAAAAATATGCATATATATATATATATATATATATATATATATATATATATATATATATATATATATATAATATATAATACATATACATATACATATACATATACATATACATATACATATACATATACATATACATATACATATATATATATATATATATATATATATATATATATATATAATATTATATATATATATATATATATATATATATATTATATATGCATAGATATTAAACACAAAGTAATAGGAAGGGGTGGTCTGATATGACATATATGTAAGATATATGTGTGCATTGTATTATTTTTTAAACATACACACAGCCTTTGTTGTAACATAATTTAGTTTCATAAAAAAACTACATCACATATATCAATGTAACTGTGGGCTGCTGTGCATGTTATGCCTAACTGTTTTCTAACAAACTATACACTTGCCTAGGGTACTGCCTATAGATTAAAAAAATCTGAGAAACTGACAACACAAGAAGAAACAAATGATTACACAAAATCACACCTTTACTATTACTTCTACATGATAACATTTACACATCTTTCAAGTCAAATCAATCCAATTAGAATACCTGATGAGTGTATTTTATTAACAACTTCTCCTTCTGGATAAGACAAACACAATAATATTAGTAAACAGACATATCCTGTAAATCACAAGCAAGAGTTTCTTACGAGAAAAAGAAAATGCCCTTCTATTAACACATGAGAGCAACAACACTAAATAAGTAAAAGGGTCAGGGGAAGATAACTTTATATACTTAAAACTTAATAACACTGCACATTGACCTTTATGTAACTTGCCACATCTCTACAAAAAAATCATCATATCTATAAGTAATATATTCACTTTCTGTTAAATTACTTGTTTATCATATTTCATTTTACTTGGTGATCTTTCTCAAATATCTTGTCAAACTGTAAGTTGTACACCACTATCTAACACTTCAGAACAGCATGATTTACTACCATTCAAATATCACCAAGTCATAGAAAATATGAAAAACACTGGGGAATTCTCCCTCTCTTAAAACTAAACCAAAATTAATAGC